GTTATTTCCACAGTTGTGGTCTTGACCGGTCTTGAAATAAAATGCCGAGTCCTCAGCGCCATCTTCTCAAAATTTGCTTCGACATCCAATTTTAATATTTTCATCAAACACTAATTAAGATTCATGTGGATCTTTTTCACACTGGAAAAAATCAAAATCTACATAATTCATTTTTTTCTTAAAATAGGTGCATTTGTTCTTGGATTGAGGAGGTAAAAGAGACATTTTCAATAAGAAAACACAATTACATTGTCTTATTTCAAGTGCATCTTATCTAATTATCTTATTTTAAGAGTAAAAATACTCATTCTATTGGCAAACTATCTTATTTACCTACTAAAATTAAGGGTAAATACACTTAATTTAAGGAATGTTTACTTTATCTGCTCAGTTTATTTACCTGACTGATGTCAGCTTTTCTCAAACCCCAAATTCTTGGTGGGAAAAGAGAAAGTAGAACTACTCAGAGTAACTGCTAACTACTCAGGGTAGGACGGTTTCACCTGCAACGCCACACAATTCTCCTGAGATAGAGGTGTTTGTAGAGCAGACATAAGTTCTTCCTGCCAGATTCTTTCTCATGTTTATTCATAACATGTTAGTTTAACCAAAGTGTCTAATTAATTTTGACTACTTTCCATTATTGTGAGTAAGGAGGAACAGACTCTGTCCAGGCAGAACGGGGCTGATTACGGTGCAGAAAGGGCCGTATGATGAACTGGTCTCTCTTTGCAAAGATAAAATAAAGTTCTGACTGAGAGAAATCCATCGATCTCTGTTTATTTAACTGGGATGAATAGTTGACTACTTTTTTCTCACTACACAGACATTCTCCTTTGGTTTGAGTGTTTGTATACACTGGAAAAAATCGAAATCTAGATAAGTCATTTTTTCTTAAAATAAGTGCATTAGTTCTTGAATTGAGGAGGTAAAAGAGACATTCTGCCAATGGAACGAGACAATTTACACTTAAAATAAGAAAACACAATAGCATCGTCATATATAACGAACTTCTCGACTCATTGACATTTAAACCTATGACAATAATCTCTTAACCACGTTAACGTCCAAAATGGAGGATATCAATGCGGAAATCGGCCGCAGTTACGCAATCGTGTTATTTAGAGATGAAGGAAACTGACCTGGAAGTATCTTCTCCCTCCGTTTGACTCTCCTGTGAGGCTGAAGCTGCTCCAGCAGCTCATCTCCTATAATCTGCGAGATGAAGCTCTCTGGGGAAAGATGATAAAAACAGCAGCTCGTCAGAGAGACGCCTCAAAGCCACCGACAGATGTTGGGTGATCAGGGGTATATAAGAGCTAAAAAAGGCACGTAAGCCCGGCGGGCCCGGTAAAGGGCCCAACTGACACCAGCTGATGTTTGTTTATTTATACAAATGGCTCAGAAACAGTCACATGGTGTTTCATCCACACACCTTCCAAATGGGACTTTAAAGTTTCTAAAACATTTTTCAAAATAATTTTTTCACAAATACGTTTTGTTTCATAGCTGTGTAAACAAATAAAATTAGATTTAAAATTCCACCTGAGTTGCAACAGCAGGTATTCATTTTAAGCCCCACACCCATCCCCCCGCCCCACAATGGCCGCCATCATTGGAAACTAGAGGCTCTGTAAACAACCCAATCCATCCCAGAAGCATGATTCGTTCTGCACATGCGCATCCAGATATACGTCCGGCTCGTCCTCGATTTTATTTTCTTTGTCTCTTCCCGACCTGCACCGGAAATGCGATCCTACGCTACTTCCGCTTGCTAACTTTTTCGGCTTTGGACTTAAACATGAATCTATTCTTTTTGCGTTTTATGTTTTCGTTTCGTTTTAACCTTATGCTATAAAGTGCGTAATCTAAAGAAAGAAAACATGGTTTATTCGTATTTTGCCAGTCTGATGATGACGTCAGTGAAGCAGTTTAACGAGGAGAATGTAAAAAGCATTCAAATTCTCTCACAAAAGTCATAAAACATTATTTTAAAGATTTGTATTTCTATTTTTTAGTGAGTTAAGGATAGAAATAAGTAGTTTTGGTACCATAATAACATTATTTATGGACATCCGGATGAATATCTCAGGCTCAGACCTTTCCAAGGAGGGGTCAGAGGTCATTGTGAGACCATTTCAGGTGATGTAACTGGCATGCGTTACATAAGCTTGCTCTGTTATTCCTATTTCTATTCAGTTTAGTGATTTTTATTGGTAAATTTCAATGAAACAACGGCTAAATCTCAGGAGCAAAGGCTTATTTAACGCCTTTGTACCCATCTGGTTTACTTTAAATTAGAGTTAATCTGCAAAAGAGAGAAAAAACCTGATGGATCTGATCATGCTTACATGTTTAGAGCTTCTTAGTAACTCCTGGGAAAAAACCAAGTACTCACTGTCCCTCCCGAAACAGCCGACTTCATCGTCTTGCAGCCTGAGAATGTGCTGCAGCCAGTCGGTTTTGTGGAAATCAGAGAATCCAGCTAATCCACAAATTAGGACTGCAAACAAAAAGAAGAGGAAGGAAGTTTTGACATTTCTTCAAAGCACTTTTTCCCTCATATCAGGAAAATATGCAATCAAATAAAAACTCCTCATGATCTCGGTGAAGAGTTTTAGAGTTGTTTTTTTATCTATGAAGCAGTCATGTTGCGGTCATGAAGATGTTGGAGCAGGACTGGGAACAGACCCGTCATGCAGACGACATTCTTTGTGGTGCAACTCCAAAATGCACCATGTCCCTCCACCAGGGGCGGATATAGGAAATGTGGGACCCTAGTCAAAGACAAGCAGGGGCCTTCTGAATGGAGAAGACATAAAACAGACTCATTCTACCCATTCTCTCTAATCCTGCTCCGTTGTTCAGGCCTCTGGATAAATGCAGAGAAGAACTCAGCGAATGGATGAACTAAATGTTCTTCAGCTGATTTAAACTAACCATTATTCTACAAATCGATTAATCCGTCCATTATTTTTTCAATAAATAACCTGACGGCTAAAGATTCCTTAAAGAAGATTTTTCACTAAATTAAACCGGGTAAATCTAAAACTTTTCCACTTGTGGACTTCTGGATAAAGCGGATTGACAGATAAAATTTCTTTTTGCAAAATGTTTATAAATATTTTTATAATTTTGATATAATTATTGCTCTAAGTGGGTCACTCCGTTAACTAAATGTATTTTATAGAGTCTCTGTACTTCAGGTAATGATTAATCGATTACTAAATTAAATGATTCATTCACTAATGGATTAATCCCGTTAATTGTTTCAGCCCTAATTTAAGCTAAAGTGAGTTTTAGGACCAATAGGAAGAGCATTTCAAAGTTAGCACCCAGCTTCAGCTGGAGAGAAGCAATCAGGCTCCATAATCTGGACTCAGATTATAATCAGCCTGAACCTTCAGAGGCTCATAAAGACAGGAACAAAGTGGACCTTCTATCATCTAAAGGATTAAAGGACAAACGTTGAAAAACTATTTCCTGTTTCACTCATCTTTAGCAGAATTGATCCCTGCAGCTGATCCAGAAAGCTGCTGCCTGCGTCCTCACTAGAACTAAGAAAGAGCAGAACATCAGCCCAGATTTGAAAATTCAGTGATTTATAAAATACTTTAATAAATCACTGAATGGCTGAGCTCCAAAATACATTATAGACTGGGCAGAGGAGAAGACAACACATAGCACAGCCCCATTCTACAGATAGATAATTGTTAATAGAATAGACATCCATTATCTGTTCTAGGTTGTGTCCCTCTCTTCTTGTCCCTTTTCTTCTTGTTTTCCTCTCTATGTTTTGTGACACACTAATATTATCAGCGTTCTGATGGCATTTTAGCCAAAGGATGTAATAACTATTAATGGAAACAGAGTTTTATGGGGCCCCCAGAAACTTGGGGCCCTAGGCAACTGCCTAGTTT